TGACAGAAGTAACACCGTGTCTCCTTAAGAATCTCACCCCACTTCCGTGCTTCCACACCTCCGAGATCCAATTAACGGACAAGAACTAGTGGAAAGACCATTTCAGAGGAGTCAAGAGTGTCATCATACTACAGATCTGCGACCTAGGAAAAAGAAAGGTATTTATCAACCCGCGATTCGGTTGTTATCTCTCTCTCTCGAACGGAATAGTATAATTAAGTCCGCTAATATGGCCGATATCTCTGTATTTTCTTTGTTTATTATTAAAATTGATTTTTTGTTAGAACATATGGAGTCCGAGTGAGTCACTTCCTCGTCTCTCTCCTCACCTCTACTCCGAATCCAAGCGCTCACACGCTACCGCTTGCGAATCTCGTGACATAAAGTCGCGTTTTCCGAGTCCCTTAGAGACTCGGTGGTGTCATCCTGACAGGGCGCCGAAGAGGTGCTGACCCTACGGTCACATTTATATGAATCTTAGATTCACCTCAATTCCTACTCATTCATCCAAAAAGTTTTTTAATAAATAAACACGACAAATTTATGATGACTAAACCAATTCTGTTGACATAAATTTGTTCGATATTTATTGCAAGTGATATATAACTTATATAATATGTAATTTAATAATGTTATATTCAATAATGTTCATATTTAAATTTTTTATTTTATATTTAAACATTTGTTTTTAATGGGGTAAGGTGACCAATGCCATCTTAGTAAGTAATTTGTGCAAAATATACCATATCTGATATAATTCATTAATAAAATGCATAATGGATTTTTTAGATTAAAATACTTTGGGCTTATTTTCTATTTGTACATGTTATTGATTAGAAATTGAATGATCATCTAAAGCAAAAATTTATTCTGGGAGGCTGTGCAAACTGAATGATCATATCCAAAGACACTTAATGGAAAATTTGAAGTAGTTGTGCACATCACATTGCAATTGATATGAAAGAAAGCTACTGGAACAGTTATTAATACCAGGAAAATTTCATTTCCTTGGTTACATATTAAACAAACTAGGCACAAGACCTTTACTATTAGAAGCAATACCAAATGATGACTTCAGTGTTTTGCTTGCAGAGAACAAAACAATGGAAGAGAGTCTAGTGGAGTGTTAAATCATGCCACATACTCTTTCATTCTGATGGGCATGCTTGAATCTTCTGTCAGACTGCATTGTACTAAAAAAAATATTACTTTTTCCTGAACAGATTTATAGTATTTAAATTTAATGGAAATAGAAAGCTTAGAAGACTCACTGCAGTAATTACAATCAAAGATAAATGGATAAATTATTGATTTTTGCAAATAAATGCTGTTGTTTCACCTAAAGTTAGATGTCCAAATACTTCTAGCTTCATGGTGTATGTTGAAATTCCAACAACAACTTTATTATTATTGTTTTTACAATATGAATTTCAATTAGTTTAGTATAAAAATTACTACTACACTCCAGATTTTTTTATTACAGTTTTTCTTAATTAGATAAAGTTGCCTAATATCTTATATTACAAGATATATATTATGATATAAAACAATTAAAACTTCTGTAAAATAAATATTTGTATCATGAAAACTTATTGCCAGAATTATCTTTAGTTAATGGTAGAAATTACTAAAAATGTAATAATAGCAGCAAGCAATTTTATAGATGCACAATATGACCTAAATATAACTGGGAATGTTATAATAAGACAAAGAAAATTTTAAAGGATTAACTAACAAAAATAATAGAAATAAATATATATTTACCTTTCTGCACTTTCCACAAGTGCATCATGATCAACACCAACACCTGCAATGACCATTCTGGAAGGTGTGTAATGATGTTTTAAGTAAGTAAAGATGACTGAACGATCAATAACCGAGACATTTTCGACAGGACAAAGCTTGGGCAGTCCTAAGGTGTTATCCCTATATGCAGCCTAATTTAAATTTTTAAATATTTCATAATAATACTAATTAAATAAAATAATATTTTAAAATATAATAACTCAAAATAAATTATTATACATTAAATTTTGTTTTGTTGCATTTTATCAGAAGGCTGATTCAGAAAAATTTTTAGAATTAAAAAAGAACTGCAATATGGAAAGACAATCATGGCAAGAAAGTAGTAGCATGATGAAATATCTGAATCCATTGTTATCACTCGAAATCTTTTGATCTTTAATAATTTAGTAATGTAACAATGTTAAAACTCAGTTATTTTAAATATCATATACACTAACAGTTTTCCAGATCACATTTGAATAAATTAAGTTATTAAATTCAGGAATTTTTTAAAATCATTAACTTAATTAATTCAAATTAATATAATCTTAAAATCTCAAATTTTAACGATCTTATCTCTAAACATTTTTGAGAACATTTCATATTTTTGTGAGCATTTTTCCAATTTAATAAAATTCAATACTTAAAGAAATATGCCATCAAAATTTCCCACTCGATATTTGTTCTTTGCTCCCAAATTAGCATTACGAAAATTCATACGATATGATTTTACTAAATGCTATTATACAATTATACACACCTACATTCAGAAGATGTAGAAGCATCAAACTTTTTGAAATAAGTAATCATGAACTGTGATGATCTTGAACTTGCACTATTATTCCTTATATTGCTTTGTATTCCTATTCTTTTGCCATTTATATTGAAATTACATAAATGTTTTTAATTATGCTTATTATTATTTTTAATATATGGATTGTCCATCTAATTTATTTCTTATGTTTTACTATTAAAAGTGTTTAAAAAAAAACTAACAATCCTGTCATATTTAATACTTCTACCTTAAAAACTTTTCAATGATTGAAATAAACATTTTTTTGAAATAATAAGAATCAAGTTGTATAGTAAAATACATTTACTTACTGCATGTATCATTTCACATAATAATGGTTCCTTATCAGGTTTCATGTTAATATCTTCTAATTCAAATAAAATAGTCTGTCGAGCATTTTCTATCTAAAAGTAAAATGCCAGATTATGTCAAAGTTTTCCAACAAAAATCTTTCAAACTCACAACTGAATTATTGAGAACAATATAAACAATTCATGAATATTTTTTAATAAAAAATGTAATTTTCAATACATTTATATCAAAATTTTTATATACTTGTAATTTAATATATCCGGACAATCCAGAAAGTAACTTACATTTTGGCTGCTAGGGGCATAGTGTTGGGTTAGAGTCACCATTTAGGTGTCAGAGCGTATCTTCACTTGTTACATATTCAGCTGTGTTAGCATGTGGTTTGTGTTGCTTCTGCTTTGTCCACTGTAAATGTTTAAAATGTGTGCTGCAATTGAAAATCCCGCAAGTTGTGAAGTGCAATCAGTGATTAATTTAATTGTTTTTTAATGGGATTTTGATATCAAATTTCATTCATTGTTCTAAAGTTCTAGTGCACAGATTTTACTTCCGTAAAGTTATTTAAAGCTACTTTCTGATATCAAAAACGACCTCCAATAGTTTTTTAATTTTTTTAATTAATAGATTTTATTATATATAAGTTTAATTAAGTTGGGGAGGTCGAAAATTGCAATAAAATTTTTAATTTTTTAAAAATATTTAAAAATATGTGGCCAGCTAGTATTCACCCTACTATAAACCCTTTGCCTCCCGAGACTTCTATGAGAATGTCCTGGAAAATCCAACACCAGCTGTTCTCAAGGTCATCCAGCTGTAAACACAATGACTCATCGGTGTCAGATTTCACAGAAAGGCAAGACAATGGAAAATAAAGTTTGAAGCTTTTTCTTGAAAATTAACGCATTTCTTTCGTTTTTTTTCAGTTTTAAGTATTTTTTTATGTTTAATTAAAAATTCCTAAATGAAAAATAGGGAACAAGTGGTTGAGTTTTTGTCAGCAAAAAATCACAGGTCAATTAAAATTTATTGGCAACTTTATGAAGTGTATGGAAACAACATAATGAGTGAAGGCAGAGTGAGGCAATGGTGCACTGTGTTTAAAAATGGCCGCACTAACGTTCTTGATGAAAAGCAAAAGTGGCCAACCGAACATTCTGACTGATGAACTGGTGACGAAAATCAATGGAAACCACCATTTCACAATTACAGAGCTCTCATTTGAGTTTCCACAAATTTCAAGGAGTTTGTTGCATTAAGTTGTAACACACAAGCTAGGCTACCATAAGTTTTGTGCCAGATGGATACCAAAAATCTTGTCAGACAACCACAAAAAACAGCACATGGCAGCATTGTTGACATTTCTGAAAGTTTACCACAGAGATGGTGACTCACTTCTTGATCAGGTTGCAACTGAAGATGAGACTTGAATAAAACATGTAAATTGTGAGACAAAAAACCAGTTCAAGGAGTGGAAATACACAAGTTCTCCCACAAAACCAAGGAAATTTTTGCAAATGTTGTCAGCAAGAAAAATCATGGCAATTGTTTTTTGGGACAGGAAGAATGTGCTTCTGGTGTCTTTCCTCAAACATGATTCAACTCTGAGAGATATTGTGAAACATTAAAAAAGTTAAAAAGAGCGATTCAAAACAAACATTGGGGTAAATTGAGTTCAAAGATTTTGTTTGTTTTTATGACAATGCCTGTCCACATATGGCCAATTGCACTCGACAGCTCTTAAATGGTCTCGGGATGGGAGACATTTGATCATTTGCTATACAGGCCAGATCTTGCACTGAGACTACGATTTGTTTCCATACATGAAGTTGTGGCTTGCAATGTAGCACTTCAATGATGACACAGAACTGCAGACAGGCACAAATGAGTGGTTGAAATCTCAGGCGGCAAAATTCTATGACAATGAAATGAATAAGCTGGTGCACCGTTATAATAAGTGCCTCAATTTAAACTGTGACTATGTTGAAAATAGTTTAAGAGTGCTGCATTCAAATGTATATAATGTTTCCTTTCATTTGGGTTTTTTTTATTCTAAAATGTAAATTACTTTCTGGATTGCCCTCATATATAAAATTCTTTAACTGAATTATAAAACTATATCTAAACCAAATGTCAATCATTTGTTGAATTACAGCATTACTAATTAATACAATTAAAGAAATATGTCACTAAAAGTAGACATATATGTTTTGTATTTTGTTAATTACAAAAATTAATTAATTGATGTAAATTATTTAACCTGCAAATTACAATTAATTAAGTATTAATGTAAATATGTGTATATATCTATATAAATGAATAATTAATATAATGACAACAATAAACAATATATAATTTATAGTTAATAATTAATTATAATACAGCACCAATTATTAATTCAATCTATAATTTAATACAGTCTTAAGTTTTAATAAATTTTTTCTTACTTCTTGTTCTGTTAATTTTGGCCTAAATACTGAATCGGCAATCAATTTGAGAACTGGATCAAGTTTTCGAGAATCTGCAGAAGCCGCATATAGCATCGTATCCCTAAAATATAAAATGAATAAACTGTTAGATTTTTCAATAAACTATAGAAATAATTTTTCTTTGTAATATATTATATTAATTAATATAAAGTATTGCTTTAATATTAATTCAACATAATCTAAGTACCAAACAAAGTTTGTAATATATTCCATCAATTATTGTAGAAATGACATTTACATTACTATGATTTAAAATTTTCACTTTAAAGTATCACTTTGACCGATGCCTCATTCCTGAAAATCTCCTGTAAATCAAAACAACATAGCCACAAGCATTTCTATTATATGTTATGGTCAAAATTTGTATCTCCAGCATAATTGGGTCACCTTACTCAAGTTTCCAAATAAATTTAAAGTGCTATAAAACACCTACTTACCTATCAACTAATAATTATAAATGAAATGAAGTAAAATAAATAGAATGGAATATTGATTAGGTTATTCACTGATATAAAAGGAGCCAATGTGAAATGAAACAAGCAAATACAAAAGTTATCATACATTTATTTGTTTATCTCAAAATAAAATCTCAGTACTTACTCCAGCAGACTCAATTTAATAAATACAGACAAACATTTTCAGTCTCATTTAGAGGCCTTCATCAGGTAAACAGCCATTCCACCAAACTCAAGAAAAGTCATCATCATAAAAGTCCCAAAAAGTAAAGGTTCCTAAATAGGATCAAAACATTTGTGTGTTTATTAAATCAAGTAATGAAGTAAGTACTAAAGTTTTATTTTGAGATAGTTACTGTGTTCCAGCTTTGAGAGTTTGTATTTATTTAATGGCAAAGAAAATAAAAATTTTAGTTAACACAATAAACAGGTCAAAAACAAATTAAAGTGCATTCTAATCAATAATAGTGTAATTAATAATAGAAGGATTTGTAATGTACAAATAAAATTTGCAAAACTGCACAATCACATTATAACAAATAATACTACCCTAGCTATTACATTGAAAAGAAACAAACTATTATTTGTCTCAAGGATTTTCTCTTTACAATCCAATTTTACAGTAGGAACATACAATCTTGTCTTTTTCATTTATATACAAAAAAATAATTTATCCTTTTTTATTCAACTTCTTACTTTACTTATTTAAAAAAAAAATAAAAATAATCATCAGGTTAAATGTTAATAATTTACAATGTGGATAAGGGGTTCTGAAAATTTTTTCCCCTATAAACTTTCAGATGAGTTTAAGAATTTTGAAACAGCACTTCTAACATCCAAAAGTTTCACTTGACGATGACTTTGCTTAATTTAGTGTTGCATATGCATTTTGGAATGATGTATACTTTTGTTCCCTCTTCAGCGATATTTATATTAAAAAATTAAGTTTATACAATTTTTAAAATTTATATACTTCGTGATTGTATATTTAAAAAAAACTCATAATAAATCCTTTATTCATAATGCTAAAAATATACAATATATATTTATATATTATATTATACACTATTTTACAAATATTTCACACAGGCAGAAAAATATTTTACTCTTTCAGTAATTTCTTACAGTAAAATATTTTTCTACTTGTGTGAAATTGTAATTGTTTATAAACAGATTTTAACCTTATAAACAGGTTTTAACCTTTACAGATATAACCAATTGGTTAATAAAAATGTAAATTCTTCATTTTTTATAAATAAATTGATTCATAGAAAACTGTCATTAAATAAGCCGACATAAATCCTGCATGTTCAGCATAATAAATTAATATTTTTTTTATTGGAATCATACATCATAAACTCAGATGACCAACAAAAAATATGGCATTTCATAATAAACATTTATATAATTTTTTTTATAAAACAAATGAAACTTAAATTAGTGATAAGATTTGAATAATAATGATATTTAATTAAAATTAAAAATAATACCTTGTAATCATAATAGAAAAAATGCATTTTTCAGTTAAACTGATAAAAATGTAGTACATGTAACTGATTTAATGATACAAACCTAGAACCTTGACAATCGCATATTCCACTATGCCTTTCTAATTCTTGTAACACTGCATCTTTATCAGCAAATTCACTTGTAGACTAAAAAATAAAATATAAATCATTTAGCTACATTAAATACTGTATTTACAGGTTATAGTACAAAAAAGGACTTAGTTCCTTAGATTCTCAGATCACAAACTCCTATGAAATCAAGCTTAATATTAAGAAAAGATTTACCAAGAAATGAGACAAATTAAGCAATTGCCAAGTTTACTTTGCAATTTGCAAGTCACAGAATCATTAAAGCAGAATTGAAACATTTTGTGTTCAATTATATTAAAATTAAATCATTTTATTGTGTGGAAAAAAGAAGAAACTTTAAACTTTTAAAGTAAATCAGATGGATTAAAATGCAAAACAGACAATGCTGTCATTGTGTGTGTGTATATATATATATATCACTTTAGAAGCATATTTCTGCATTTAACTTCATTTAAGACAACTAGCAGGAATGTGACACAATCATGCTGCTACTATGTACATGATATAGTCTGTACTAAATTCCTTGTATGTTTCAATATAGATTGTATTTGTTTTCATTAAAGTTAAATAATTACGCAGATCATTAATCTGTATCTGGGATCATCCCATCTCCTGCTTTTAAGTTTGGTCGTTTTTCCAGCATAACAACCAAACATTGTAGTCCAATCTCTAGAGACCTATGTGAGCAAGTTATTCAAACATCAGAACCATGTTATCTCTCCCAGATAGTCTTGTATACAAAATATACAGATGATATCCTCATTATTTGGAATATAATTGTATATAATGCTATTTTTAGACTTTTCAACTACCAACCATCAAATAATGCTCCTTAGCACGTTGCACCTACCCATCCCAAAATTACATGCATACCCTCGATCGATGATCAACCACTAAGGGGGCTCTTACTTATACTAAGATATCATGCACAGCATGGGATATTGAACATTATGCTGTTTTATTAATTACATAAAAAGCAGTTACATAAATAGTAGCTTCACTATTCAACTTCACTGTGCACTATTTGTTCACTATGCAACTTTTCAGAAACAAAAATGAATTGTTCTATTATACAAAAGTTGAGATCCATTATGTAATGGTTTTGTAAACAATCCCACCCTTGTAACAAGTCATAATGATTATCTGCATTAATGAAATGAAAAGGAAAACCTAATATGTTTTAATTATAAAAGATAAAAAAATAATCTAATTTTTTGCTTCCAAACTGTTAATACATTTAAGTTGAAAAATAAACTACACCGATATAAATCCAGCAACATTTAATAAAATAAAAACGTTTTCAATCGTTTTTCAACGATCATCATCAGTTACTAAAAATAGAACACTAAATATAGAACAAAATGCGTTCGAAATAAATACAAAAATAAAAAATTAACGGAAAACGCCCTGGTGGACGAATTAATGAAAAATTAATGAAAAATTAACAAATAAATAGTGAAAAATTAATAATTATAAAAGGATCTCCACGCAGTGGACAATGAGTCGGCGTCCCTATGGTTTATACAACCGGTTTTCATGTGCGCCTTATAGATTTCCAATTTCTCTAGATGTTTGATCGTTTGCCGATTAGTTGTCGTTTTTATAATTGATGCCTGATCCCATAGAACATTTATATCTTGTTGTTTTGCGTATGATGCTAACACAGTGTTATCAAGGTTCTTATCGATAGTGTACTTATGTTCCTTGAGCCTTTTCTTCAGACCGCGCATCGTCGCACCCACGTAAACTAGCCTGGAATCGAAACGCTGATCATGTAAAGGCACTGAATATATACCCGTTGTTGAATTCCGATCCTCTTTCTTTTTGTCGTTTCTCAATAGTTTGAAAATAGTGGGATTGCGCCTGTATACAATGTGTAAGTTATTAGACTTGGCAGTAGATGTGTGTATCCTGTTCAGAAATGGTACGTAATTAAGCACTATTCGTTTATTAGGGTCAATCTTGGGAGAATGCCGTGTAGTGGATTGGAAGGATGAAATAAGATCCTCTATCTCTTTCTTTGGATATCCGTTTAGTTGGGCTATTTTAAGAATGTACCTTAGCTCCTTTATTGTGCCGCAGAAACTTGTACAATGCGTATACGCACGTTTAATCCATGATCTGAACACCGCCAATTTGATATGCTTGGGATCGATTGATTGACGTGGGATGATAACGGGTTGAAAGCAGGGTTTACGGTAAATATCAGTCCAGATCTCCCCTTGCTTGCACGTAATGGATATGTCGAGGAAGTTAACATTGGTGTCGCTCTTCTGGTCCAGATGCAATGTTAAACCATAAGGGTTGTTGTTGAGTTTGTTTAAATTGGTGTCGCTCTTCTGGTCCAGATGCAATGTTAAACCGTAAGGTTTAACATTGCATCATTATTAAATGTTGCTGGATTTATATCGGTGTAGTTTATTTTTCAACTTATTCTACTTCCAGTACGTATTGATTATATAATACATTTAATTTAACTAATTATAAAACTTACGTTAAATGCCAACTTCTCAAGAAAATGCGAGATTCCGCTCGGATATGCTACTTCGTACCGAGATCCAGAATCAATAACAACTAATAATAAATAATAAAGTAAAAATTAACTAATTTTCAAATGGTTTTTTGTTTAATGTTAAAAGCTGTATTATATTTAAAGATATTTAATCTTACATACAAATTTTATAATAAAAATTATTCTGACTATTTATTAACAAAATTATTCATAAATTCACTTAGTTAAAACACAATTAAAACAAAAATAAAGAACTTAATAATTAATTAATAAAAAAATTCTAAAACACAAAATTTTTCAGTTGAAAGCATGCAAAAGATTTGTAGAAATTTGATTTACTTATTATTAAAAAAATCTATTTTAGAAATATGCAATTTTAAGTTTTTAAAGTAAAATTACTTTTAGTTGGCACCAAATTGAAATAAAAAATTAAATGCACTTGTGAAATCCGCAAATTTAACACAGTTGTCAGAAAAAAATGTAAATAACTCCGATAGAAAAAACGCTCCTGGTGAGAATTAGATTGGAGGTCACCTTTTGTTATAACAATTAGATGGGAAAGTTGACACATAGGTGTCAAGAATGCACTGTTATTGTCAACATGTGACGATCATGTGACTCCTTTCCCACGACAACTGAATAAAAGCTCGAGCACCTGGAAGCTCAGGGCGCATCCGCACACAGAAGTTATTTCTGTACTTATGCCAGTCGATCTCCATGCAAAGGAATTGGATCCTGTCGGAGAAGACACAGGACAAAAGACACCAAGGACTACTACCTCTTCCATACAGACAATGCACTAACTCTCCATTACTCTGAGAGGTATTTAGGGGATATTTTAGAAATTGTAAAATCGCTCTCTCTCACCCTAAAGTTAGGCAAGCGACATAGACAAGATTAGTCGCCCATTTTATGTATATAGTATAGTATAACTGCATTTAACCTTAGTTTTATTTTTGCCTCCTGTATCTTAGATTTAGTTATTCAATAAATGCTTTGTTTATTTGTTAAACCTGTCTCCTGTCATTGAAAGGACACCTGTCGACTTACCAATGCACTCCCCACTCACTTTTGCCCTACTAGCCATCCGACGACTCTGACACTGGGTTTTACCAGTCTGTGCAGTGTAAGTGGTCAGGAGGGATTAACCCCTGGCTCTCTGCTGTCTCACACACTGCTTATTTAAAGCCTCCTTTTACCTGCTTCTCACTTAATTATGAACATGAGGATACATACATATGTTATTTAAAGCCATAAAATATTTAATAAGAAATATTTTCAGCCATTTTCAACACATTTCAAAAAATTAAAAATTTTCAAATATATTTTAAATGTTTAAATTTTGTGATTCAACTATTTGTGTTATCACTTGCTTTGCTTTGATGACATTAATAAACAAGATGTTAAAAATGTCTAATGTATTACATATTTTATTTTATTGATTAAAATTATTTTATGTTCAATATAGTTTAACTATTGAATAAAGAACTGAAGGTTGCAAGTGAACATTGTTGTGACAACATGGTAATTCACATTGTTTAGTGCTTTTTAAATTGAAGGTAAAGTTATTACTAGGGTTTCTCATTTCCTGGTCTTTTGCTTGTCCCGCAATTTCGAGAAAAAGTGATCTGTTTCCCAGAATTCCGGGATAGAATTAATTTTTTTTTAAGATATACAAAGTATCTTGAAATAAAATGATATAATCATTTTTCATTTTTTAAAATAATTTAATATGTTCTGCAACCTCCAAAATCATATTAATAATGCTGTGTAAGATATATATTAAAAATTACCTTTGAATTACATAGAAATTTTCTCAAATAGAAAAAATGTATTAGTTTGCTGGATACTGCATATAACATCAAAAAAAAGAAAAGAAAAATGACGTGAATTGAGTTGAAAATTTAAAAAAAATACTTAAAAAAACTTAGATCAAACTTCTAACTTAAAAGATAATTTTCGTTTTTTAAATAAAACATAATACAAAATATTATTGTAAATTTTTATAATAAGATTTTAAAAAGCAAAGATGGTCAATACTACAATCACTCAATCTGATTCTTATTTTAGTAATGAAAAGTCCTGCTACCAAGAATGCACTTTCTTATTCAATTAATGTGAGTGGAATCACGTTTAATGAATTTAAGAGAAAACAGATATTATGTGTTTTTTCACCTGTAGCCTGGAAGATTTCGAGTTCGTTTTCGAGATTGTAGTACTTCTTTCGCTCTCTAGTATTCTTGATTTGTCTACCTTGGCTGCTTTAATAGCGGCATCAAGCTTAGAGCTCGATAATTCGGCAATTCATTTGGCTTTAATAATCAGGTTTATGAAGAAAAACTTCATACTTGCAGACTTTGTACTCGTTTGTATCCTTGCCCAATTTGCACAATCTGGCGTCAGGCATTTATTGAAGCTACTGGGCAT